AGTGAAGTATTGGGGCAGTTAGTCTCAATGTGGAATTCTTTAGGGAATATGCCATATTTTATCCAGGAGCTATTTACAAAAAAAAAAACCCCCAAAACCCCCCCAAAAAATCACTGTCTATCCCTGCAGAGAAACTCCATGTCACTTTCCTACTAGATCTGCTGTTTGGTGTGAAGAAGAGAATGCCTAGACTCCCTTTCATTTTTCATAGACAGATTTACAAGTTGCTAAAGACCATCTTTAGTTTCCTAAAATGTTGGCTTCTGAAATAGAACTTGGAATAACTGCTGTTCTCAACTATGGCTAAACAGAGGGATGAGTGTATTGTTCACAGGCATAGATGAGGAGACAGCGCTAACATTTGAGTCATTAAAAAAAAATAATTAATTACACCATGAGTGATTTTTATGTAACTGCATGAGCATGTTCAATACAACTTTAACAGCTACAAAAAGACAGACCAGACCCTGGCAAACCTAATGAGGAGAGAGTGTAAATATGCATGAGCCATGTGCTTGGGGGTTGGCTTTTTTCCTGTTAATTTTCATAGTACCTAAATGGGACAACATGTAACATCCACAGGAGAAATTTTTGTTGTTGTCATCGTTCTAAGTCTGCCTTGTCACTTCTTTTTAACATGTTTTACCCAGCTGACCTGTCACAGAGATAATCATCATACAGTGTGATGGGCTGACTAATGTTGAAAAAGCTACATCCATTTATTTTCCCACGCCCCCCCCTAGATTTTTTTTTTTCTTCATGCATTTCCAACAATAGTTCTCACGAAAATTACAACCAGAATTATCTTTCAGGTTTGTGAGGATCCAATTTCCTAACAAAACCAGCAATCTACATTTTATTGAATTTCATAGTCTGGTAACCACCAAATCTTTGCCACTTCTATTCAGCTACGCAAGAAACACTGTCAGCCAAGCAGGAAGGTGGACGTTTGTGACAGCAGCGCAATTGTCACGGTTATCTTTCAGTGTGGGAGTGGTGTATATGGACATTGAAAAATACTATTCTGGGGTAGGAAGAATTTTTGGGTTTTTAATTTTAGACTCATTGTCGTTTTTATCACTTACAGTGCAGGCTTGGGGAGGCAAGAGCAAAGAATTACTCATAATCGTAATCAATGTGTGAAGGTAATTATGGGAATATACTGAACAAGAAAACACTTCTGCTTCTCAGGGTTATCTACCTTATTCTAGGGATGTTCTCCCATGTGCCAGTTTCCCTTTAACAAAAGCTCCTGTTCACAGTTCCTATCAGAATTTACTCCTATTTTGTGAAGTGGACCTATTAAATGGTTACTTCAGTGGAGGATGGGTAAAACCAGACGTTTAGTTCTGTAAAACTTCTGAATATTACCAGTGTTTGGGGAGAATGCTTAATACAGGATCTTTAATTGAAATTGCTTTCAGTAGAGACTTGCACAGGACTTTACAAACTCAGAAACATTTTGCTCTTTTACTGCCTGGAAGGGAGGGAAAGGCATTTAGAGAGGATATTGCAGATCATAGGTATTTTCTTTGTTATTGTTGCACTGCACTGAGTGACTTCCTGTGTCCATCCTTTTGTCCCATAATATTGGCCAGAGGTTTTGAAGTTCGAAGTGTCCAGTTCAAAGGAAACCCTTGTATGAAAGGACATCTGCAAAAGCAAACACTGAATGCGAGAGGGAGAGGAGAGGGAATGCATCAGTATTACTCGCTGATGCCCAGGCACTTGGTGGAATCTGCTTGTTCTTGCTTCATCAATGATCTAGATTTCTGAACAAAACCAGGCTGATTGCTGTGTGGTCTGTTAGTAGGGTCACTGCTGGCCATGCTGCGCTGAAGAGGCGGGGAAGAGACTGTGCTCTCTGGCTATTGGCACCTTTTGGTTAGTGCTCGTAGCTAAAAGTTCTCTGGGTCATGGCAGTGAACAAATTACTGATAAACTGATGAGGGGTAGAAGATGATGAGCCTTGTGGAGACCTGTCGAGTGGATGGTAAAAGGCATTTCTGACAGGAACTTTAAATTTGGGTAGCAGAAGCTGGGGAAGTGGTAGGGGTTTAATCTAAACACACACACACACACCTCCCTCTTTCTTTTTTTCTTTTTTTTTTTTTTCCCCCTCCTTAAATACATCGCAATCTTCAGCCATACATTATTACAGGATAGCCCTAATTAAATGGAGAGAACACACAGTAACCATAGAACTAGCTGGGTATAGCTGTCTCCACAAGAGCGAGCAACCATGCTGCATCTATTGGAAAAACTCAACTTGTATTGCAACATCTTTTTATACCAAGTCTTTCCATTGCTGAGTTGTCATGCATGAATTTCATTAAGCTTTGGATCTGTTTAGCATAGTTATTCCAATAAAGGTCATATCTGAATTGGACTCCCTGTAAAAATGTGATGGATTTACTGTATCAATAGTTTGCAGTAGGTGGAGGCCTCTTCGTTAAACGTGTGCGTGTTCTGGTGACTTTCTGAGCGTGGTATTGAGGGGGCTGCTGTGGCCAGACAGCAGAACAGACTGAAAGGCAGGTGAAAATTCTGTGAGTACCTTCTGAAGAAGTGACTGCAGAAAAGAGCAGGGATGCATAGGATAGGGAGCATGGAGTTGAAATCTGTTGGAAGGAAAGCAAAGCCTGACTTAAATGATTCAACATCTGGCAGTGTAGTGGAAACCATTAATAAGTTGTAATATCTTTGCATTCGGCTGAGCTTGTGAAGAGAAAGAAGCTGGGTGATGATTATGCATTGAGAACAGTCATGCAGATCACATCCTCCTGCTTGCTGAGAGGATGATATGCTGGTTTTTGGTTTTTTTTTTTTCCAGGGGGAAAAGATTTCAGACAACCAAATATGAAAGTGTCATGAATCTTAACTGCTTATTTCAGTCTCCTTTTATAGGCAGATGGACCCTTGGAAAAAAAAAATAGCTGTAAGTTGGCAGCAGAAAGCTCGACTGTGTGAAGCAGAAAGCTTGACTGTGTGGGTTTTTTGAATATGCGTAATTCTGTCTCTAAGCTCAGTCAGGAAAGCTAAGGGACAGATGCCAGCAACGTTTTATCCTAGAAAGGAGGGAGGAAAAAGAAAGAAGAAAAAAAGAAAAACCAAAAAAAGTGTGTGGGATGTTGTGGATTTTTTTTCCCTTTAACTGCATGGTGTAGAAATGAGGAGAGTAGAGCCCAGAAAGGGCTCACCTTCAAACTGAACAAAGCAGTGCAGCCAGGTGCTTACAGGTATTTTGAAAATGGCTCTTGCAGTCATTTTCATGCTTTGCAAATAACCAGAGGTCTGAAATGGCTCCATGGAAATGGATTTTTTTTCCAAGCATGACAAACCCAAGGAGAGCTTATAGGGATGCTGTGAGGAAGCAGTGAGTGCTGGTGTGATAGCTTTGGTCTGTAAAGGACAAATCTTTAATTCTATAGGGAGAAATCTTTTGGGAAAGGAGAATGGTAAAAGGTTTGGGGATGACCTGAAGAAAAGAAATACAGTAGAAGTCAATTGGCCAACAGAATTGACAGCCTGTATCTGTGATAGCCCATCATTCAGTTTGTGATTCAAAACTGAAAATTTCTTTAGCCAGAGAGTTAAAGTGCAATGATGCAGACACATAAGAGAACTGAATGTATTTTCCATATAAAGTACAGTCTTATAAGTAGAAAGATGGGTTTAATTTTTAATATAGGTTCAACACTTGAAAGACTTCAAAGGTTTAGAGGCCATTTGCTTGAAAACTGTTCAAGAACACTTTGAAGAATAGAAGATAAGCAGGTGTAGGGCTGGCTACCTAGGGCACTAGAACTTGAGATACCAGGGGGCAACTGCAAAAAGGGAGACAGAAACTTGCTGGTCTTTTGTTACAAAAGATGAGGACTGTTCTCTGAAAAGAATTAAGATACCTGCTGGGTATGTATATGACCTTCTCAACAAGGAAATGAGCCAAGACAGCCTCTTGCATGCTTGCTACTAATGATGGAATTTTTTTTGCTCAGATTCCTTCTGTTATCTCAAATTAGACTGTTATCCTTACTGCTATTTTAATTTAAAAATATATACTGGGATAGCTAAAAATACTGCTTCAAAGCAAGGAAGAGTTGCATCAGTTTGCAGGCTTTCTTCGTTCAAACCGTTCCGGATGGTCCTCATTTACCCATAAAACTTTGCCCTCAGAGGGAGTTTGGTTTTAGTCCAGTGAGCAGATTTATGTGATGGTCAACCCTGGTGTGTGTCTAATGAAACTGCATGTCCCAGAAGGCTGAGAAGACTGTGAGATGAGTGAATCCTGTCTGAAAGGGGGATACAGGATGTAAATTTGAGCCTCAAGGTTACAGTCCCAGCTTAAATATAGCTACCAAGCAGCATAACAGATTCCTTTCACACAGCGACTCAAGTTCTGACAGGCATAAAGTCAGTGTTTTTCTTCATTCCCATTTATATATCTTGGGATATTTTTAAGGGGTGATGCTTCTGTGATTGATTTAATTTTCTTTGGAAGTCAGTTGCGTAAACCTGAGGTCTGAGTAGGACTGAGCAGGACTTCATGCCGATGTGCAGATGACACAAGAAACACCATATAATTGACTTTCCAGATAGAGGCCCCTGGAGTGAGGGACAGCGACTTAAGCGAGCATAGGACATTCTGCTCACACAACCAGCTAAGTCTGTGCCTTCTAAGCATTATGAATATAAAAATTAGTTGTCCAAGAAAAGTTGTCCCTCTGAGGAGCTCGGCTCTTAGGAAGGCCTATTAAAGCTGTCTCTGCCATTGAACTAATGACAGTGACAAGCCTCTGAAAACCAGAAGCTGCATGAATTACCTGGATGGGGGATCATGCTGCCAGCTTAGGAATTTGTTTAGTGGTCACTGATCCTTATATTTGCCAACAGAAAAAAATCTTATTTTAAAGATACAGTAATAATTTAACTTATACTGGTCATTTGCTCAAAAACGTGACTTTTCTTAAAGTAAAGGTACTTAACTCAAGCGACTTCAGATACACACAGAATGGGATTTTACACATGTTGGACAGAAATAAGAGAATCAAGCCACGACCAGAAAGATTCCAGAACTGCAAAGATGTTTTTGATTTGATCCTAACGTGTGAAGAAAGAGTCTATGATCAAGTAGTAGAAGGTAAGGACCTTGAACTGATAAACCAAGTTAATGTTGAGTGTTTTTTTCCCCTCTCCCCTTAAAGTCCTTCACAAATCTGGAAACTTCTCTGTCTCCTCTGACTGCTGCTGCTGGAACACCGGCAGGGACAAGAGCTTGCAGTCCATTGACGTAGACTTTATGTACCAGAGAAATGATAGCTGAATACTTATTTCTAAAAGGTGCTGGTGTTGGCAGCTACACAGAATGTGTATGTATAGCAATTTTAAGGGCTGACATAAGGAAATAGCAAGCATTTGGAGAAACTCAAATACATTTCTAGTTTGAAAATGCTCATGGATCTAGAAAACTAGCAAGTTGTATGTGATGAGCATTTTTTCACCCTAAGTTGATGGAGAAACCAAGTCTAATCTGTGTTCCTTATGCAACTTCCCTTCCCTTCTCTGTGGAATACTTCCTGTGATGTACCAAGCAGTTTATCCACAATAAATACCTCCTGTACAGGTGGAGAAACTGTTCTTGGCTGTGATTAGCACTCTGCAAACATCCTATGATTTTGCCCTTAAATGAGTCAAACTCAGATATGCCAGAAGAATCTCAGTTGGGGTTTGGGTTCTGCATGAACGCAGTGCAACAACTTTGATGGGAACTCACTGGGGGTTCAGCAATGACTCTGTCAGCTCCTGGAAATGAGAACCCTGGAAATGCTGGTTACTGGCTTAAATGAGATTTAAGGCGTTTCCTCCATGTTTAAAGATCAACCAACTGAATTAGTATCATACACACAATGAAAAAGGCTGTTGCCTTGCCTGTTCAGTCCTCGATGTTCATGTCACAAGCAGTACAGAGCATTTGGGTTCCTGCAGTTTGAGCAATTAGTGTTCTGATTGTTCCAGTGAAGTGTTTGACATGCATTGGTAAGTTCTGAGAGCACCTGCCCTGGTACTTGAATGGATCTTCAGCAAGTTCAGCATGTCTAACACAGAAAGCAGCTTTCACCCTGATGTCTGAGGTGAGTATCCTGAGGAAGGGAGGTGAAGAGCAACCGCTTGCTAATTTTCATTTGACCGTTTAGAGGAAGAAGGCTTGAGTGCTACCAAATGGCTCTAGATGTGAACGCTGAAATTTTAGATGGAGACCTCAACAGCTTTGCCAAACTGAAGTTGCAGAATGGGGTTAGGGAATAACTTGTAGCTTAAAAACTGTGTGTGTAATGGGAAGGTGACGTTAGAGAGGCATAACAATAACACATGGGTGGATTAGTAGGAAAAGGATGTTTTACTTTCCCCCCTCACCCATTGTTAGTAAGCAGAACACATTAAAACTAGAATTTTCTAATGTGACTATCAGTGTTTAACTTGTAGGAGTTCACCTTGCAGTTTAATTTTCAGAGTGTTGGATGTACAGTGCTTTTTAAAAAAAAAAGGGCAGTTAAAACTCCCCAGGTGAGGAAACCCAGAATAATTCTTGACTTTTGAAAATCTTGATCTTGGTCTTTAAAGACTATTTGAATAAAGTGAGCAGTAACTTCTATTGACCAGGGCAAATAAACTGTCATGACCCTTCCACAAAACTGAATTATTTTGTTTCCAAAATCCATCTTGTTTATCACATAAGAGGGACTATTGTTTAAGACTATATTAAATAAACATTTTTCTAAAAGCAAGTTTGGAGAAGGCAGAAGTGGACAATGTCTGTGTATTTTTAAAAATCTTATGAATAATTTGTGTAAAATATGATACCATTCTACCCAAAGTTTTGCTGTTATGTGTGTTTTGCTTTCAACTAGATTTAAATTCCAGAGAGCAGGAGACATGTCAGCCAGTACATGTGATCAATGTGGACATTCAGGATAACCATGAGGAGGCAACCCTGGGTGCTTTCCTTATCTGTGAGCTCTGCCAGTGTGTAAGTAGAGAAGGCTCGTTGCTTTTGGGTACCTTGGACCCAGCTGACCGCACAGGGGTTGGGGTTTGCTCAGGGCTCCTTAAAGGTGCTGTGTGTAAGTTGTTTAAGTAAAATCCACGTTGAGATGCAAGCTTCCAAATTCTTGTGGTGATTTTTGGAGATATTATGCAAACAGATGAATTGTAGCTGAGGTCACAGTTTCCAAAGTGGACTCCGTGTGTTTGCACATTCAAAACCAACTCATTGATGGCGTATGTGGAAAGCAGGATGGCAAAGCACTGCACAGAACCACTGTACACATTGAGCCCGTACTCAAAACACCGATTATGGCGAAAACATCCATTTCAAAAGCAGTTGTAATATGTAGGATTTAAACGTCAGAGTTGCATTCTGAATCATGATATACTTGAAAACATCCTATTTCATAGTGTAGGTGTATTTCATAGTACCGCCCTGTTGGGTGTATGATGTGGAAGAAAAAGCTGATGCCTTCTGTCATCCGTGTTCAAGGACCACAGCCCTTGAAGTCAGGCTGAAATAAGCTGCGCTCAAAACAGTCAACATACCTGTCAAAAGAACAGAGAAAGGATTTGTGTCTCTTTACAGCTGCAAGTTGATGAGTTCACCTATTCCAGTGTGGCAACAGGGGGTTTTTTGTCTGTTGTTTTTTTTTTATTCCAGCCTGTGTGATCTATTCTGGTCTTAAATCCTTTGCAGATTCAAAAATCCTGGAAGGGTTCAAGGACTTGAAATTTTATCCATCTGCTCAGCTTGCTTGTAGCTATTCTGAAGCTTCCACTTGTTATCTAGTGAGGATGGATGTTGCCTACTCGAGAGAATATTGGTTAAGTGCTAGTTCAGTAGGTTGGGGAAGGAAGGAGATGCAGATAAACACGATGCAGAACATATGTACGTTTGGGGATGCTGGGAATCAATAAAGCACCCAGTGCTGCAGTGTTTGGTACAGCCAGCTGGTTTGGGTTTTTCTGTAAGCCAAAAGCATGGAATTATTAGAGTTTTCTAAACTACATCATATCCTTGGAGTCTGGTTGCTTAGTGTTTTTTCTCTTCTAGATACAGCACACAGAAGACATGGAAAATGAAATAGATGAGCTGTTACAGGAATTTGAAGAGAAAAGTGGAAGGACTTTTCTTCATACTGTCTGCTTTTATTAAAGCACATTTGTCTCTTAGGCCTTAATACAGATGAGGGAAGCATGTGTTAAAAGTTCTGATTATACTGTATTTTCCTGGAAAATGAATATTGATCTTTTTTTTTTGTTTAAAAAACTCCTTTTCAGTGTCTTTTTGTTTTGTTTCAGGTATTCTGTCACAGGTAGGCAGAGATACTGGTTGGGGTTGTACATATGAGATGATTAAAAGTATACACAAAGGCCACGTATTTAAAAATGAAAATCAAGATTTTCTTTAAATCCTACTTTAATTATTACAAGTAGGTTTTTAATTATAAAGAGAATGTTTCTTGAATATAAGTTTATAATGTATTTTTCCAGCTTACAAATTTATTTTATTTCAGTTGTGCTTTTTTTTTTTTATTTTAATGTGACAGAATGGCTGAACTATGTGAGGATATGAATGGAACAATGCAAAACGAGTATCTGTATATTATTAGATATAAAGTTGGAAGCATCCAATAAAAATGAAAAAACCTGGTAAATTTGTCTGTTTTCAAAATAGAAGCTCAGTAAGTGTGACTGTTCTGTGAGGTAAAACACAACGTACCTGAAGTAGCACAAGAATGCTCGTTCATCCAACGTGTCTTGGAGAGGGCAGTGACAGCAGGAACATCTTGATAGGAATCCAGAGCCCTAACTGTGTCCTTGCTCGGAGAGGCTGAGTGTTTGGGCAGCTCGTGATGATTTTTGATCCTGTGTTGAACTAATGAACTGCTTTCTCTGTAGCAATTAGGGCACCGCCAGGAAATCTTTTGGGGTCTCAATTGCTTTTGCATTATCATGTGTGAGATTAATAAGACTTTGAGGCTGTAACTGTAACAGTTGGGGAGAATTGTATGTATGTCTTCTGTAAGGAGGATGCAAATAGCTTAAAGCTTGCTTTTTTTTTTTATTTTAAAAAAGCAGACAACCAAAAAAAACCCAAACTGAATTGTCTTTTAGAAGCATTCTCCTCCATAAAGCAATACCAAAGCTGCCTTTGTCACAGCTCACTTTTCTATCTTAAAAAAGCAAACAACCAAAAAACCCAAACTGTGAATTGTCTTTTGACTAGAAGCATTCTCCTCCCTACAGCAATACCAAAGCTGCCTTTGTCACAGCTCAAAATCCAGACACTGAGTATGTGTGTACAAGCAGAACAAAAGCTCAGGCTTTCTTCAAACTGATAAAAGTGAAAACAAACCAAATTATTAGACATTGAAAACGTGAGTGGTAAAGCACTGCTGCTTACAGGTAAGAGATCTCAAAAGTTGTTTTGTTAAAGGAACCTGTAAATGATTTGGAGCAAACGAGGTCCGTGTGGACCTTGGATCTATAAGGACAACTTTTAAAATATCCTGTTAAAAAGGAAGTAGCATGAAATGGGGTTTGAGCTCCTGGCTTCCCTCTCTCTCGTTCTGTCACTGACCTCTGGCAGCTCACGTGAATCACCTAATTTTCCTGAACTTTAATCATTTTGCACATGCAGGGAGTTAGTGCTAAGTACTTTCTCTTGTTTTAGAGCAACAACTTGTGTAGGTAGTAAGTCATACAGTAATGCTACTTGACCTCTTTCAGGTGAACACACTCGCATATATTAAAAAGCATCTGCTCCACTCCTGAAAACTGCAAGTCCTTATGTGAAAATACTTCTTAGCAGTTGCCAGTCTTGAACTCTGTTGAGTCAGACCCCTGAAGAAATCTCACACCGCTCTCTCCTCCTGGGATCTGGGGGTTGGCTGTGGTTTCACTTGCCGTGTGGGAAAACTTAGACCTCTGCCAACTCAATCTGTGTCCTGGACACTGTCCAAATGGGTCATTGCATCATACTTGGGTCCCAGGAATGTTTAATATCCCTGAATTACCTGTGCTGCTTTTCTTGTCTGTTAAAAATACTTAAAGCAAAAGTTTTGTGGAGAATGAATGAATAGATCAGAACAATTAGGGGATGGGGAGTTCAGGCAGCAGTTGTGATAAATTTTGCAGAGTGTATGTTATGTGATTGGCTTGTCCTGTCCCATTTTGTTTCTGGAGACTGTAGTTGAAGGATTTCATTCAGCCTCCTCTGCTTCTGCTCATTTGTCTGTCTGATGCCATCACTTGTTACCATGGGGATATTTACAGCCAAAGGAAAAAGATGATTCTGTAAGGACTGAGCTGCTTTAGTTGATCTATTTAAAAAGACATTTCAAGCAAGCATAGGACTGAGTATTTTGACCAGTTTTCCTTCCCTGTATAGTATCAGCACTGAACTTTGCTCTGTGGCAAGGTGAAACTGGGAGAGTGTTAGAAAATGTTTTCTAATTTCACCTTAATGCATCCTAAACAGAGCTCTTTGTTGTTATTTTACAGAAAGAAAGTGAAAACCCAAACAGGATGGTCTAACCTGTGGTTTTGGTCTGTATGGAGATTTAAAGAGTCCTTTTTATTACATAAGGATTATACTTTTCATGTGCACAATTGGCAGATGATTCTGGTTGCTGTAGTGTTCAATATGGATTAATTGGTAGAACTCAGCTGAAATGAGAAGTCTTGGTCTGAAAACATTAGATCATATACAGGACATTACAGAATTGTTCTTTCCATCCTAAACATTTTGTTCATAAGCAAAAGCAACGCTGGGAGCTGGTCATTTGTCATTCCTTTATTTACCAGCACATGGAAGGATGTTTGGATGGATGGATGGATGTCAGATCTAGATGGACAGGCAAGTATTCTGAATGATCCCCAGTCCAATTCAAAATATTTTACGTTTATGAGAGCAAAACTTGTTCTTCAGCTAAAGCTGCTCTCATCTGACACGTTACTTCTCATCTAACTTACAGGTTACTGAAAAATGTGTGCCTTTATCTAGTTACTTTGTCTCCATATGCTTCATTCGCAGTGAAATCTGCAGTGAAGCTCAGTTTATACAGGAATTTTATGGGGTCCTAGTCTTGGTTGAGAGATACATATGTTTATGCACACACACATATATGTAGGTATAAAATAAACTCCAGCTAAACACAAGGCTAAAGTTATTTTCTGTGTCAAAAAGATGTTTCAAGAGAAACTTTGATTTAAAGGAAATGGGGGAAAAATAATGTATTTTTCCCTTAAGAGTGGAGTGGCATGGATGTGGTGATGGTGTTCTCTTCCCTGTGTTTTCTTCCCTGCCTTGTCAATACGTGGATAATCCTGCCAATAAGTACCAGTGCTCAAAGATGGTCTGTTTCTTCTTAAGTTGATGTTCTTCCAGTTTAATGAAGGAAAGCAGTGAAGGGGTAGCCTTGTGAACACAGGCTGTTCAGAATTTGGCTGTGATGGGAGATTTCTGCTGGAAATGAGAGTTTTCAGCTATCTAGGCTGTTCTCTCAGTTGCCATAAGGCAGCAGAGGTGGCTTTAAAGTACAGATTCCTCCCAGAGGTTGTTCCACCACCGCTTTCTAAATGTAGGGACTGGTTTAGCATTTCTCCCCCATTTTTTTTTTTACTTTCTATGAAAGGCCATGTTGATTAAAGAATAGTATCTATTGAAGTTGATGCTACCTTCTGTGTGGACACATCTTTGCCAAGAACAGCTTGAGGTTTCCATGTCTCATGTGTTGGTCCTCTGCAGATCCTTGTTTTCAAAAAGAAGCAGCTTACTTCTAGCAATATTTCTACCTTCTATCACTAAATTCTAGTGATTAGGAACAAGTTTAACAAACTCAGTGTAAACTATTGTGGTGGCAACCCAAAACTGTCTAAGCATTTGTTAGCTAGATGTCATGGGGTCAAGAGGATGGGACAAGAGAAGCTTGGCAAGGTCTAACCAAGTCTGGACACGTTAAAAATGGGCCAGGAAGAATAGTGAGGAGACCTGTTTGACGGTCACGCTGCAGTAAAGCGAGTGCGAGACCTTCCTGGCTGCAGTGGCAGATGTCACTTGGTGCTCCTGCCAACCGGAGGAGGATGGAGTGTGGAGAGAGGAGAAGGAATTTCTGAGACAATTCAGCTCAGCTCTAATATAATGGAGTGCCTCCACTGTTCTGCCTGGCGACTGGAGTTAATAAAGGCAGTGATAATTTCATGGCTGCTCTCCACAGTTCCAGCCGATTTAGTGACTCCTGTGGTCCAGGCAGTGCTGGTGGATGCAAGGCTGGGCTCTTGTGCTGCCCTGAACCTCAGCCCCCTTCTGCCCAGGACCAGGCTGAGGTTTGTTGGCTGCTGAGCAGCTCTGCAACCCGACAGCCACAGGTGGGAGGTAAAGGGCATGAGGTGCAACCAGGGCTGGAACAATCAGAGCAGGGATGTCTGGAATATCCCCATCGGCTCCGAAAGGACAATAAGGAAAGGTGACTCCACCAGAGCTCTGCTGAGAAACACAGTTTATATCTGAGCCAGTGACCAAATCTTTCTTCAGTGCCTCAAGGCCAGGTGAGACGTGACCCAGCTGCCTTTGTGGGGCTGGCTAGGAGCTCAGAAACCTTGGCTGATGGCGAAGCTTCAGCTCCACAACATTCCTTGAGACTTGTCTTCCAATTGTCTGTTCTCTCCTGTGTTTTTATTTGGCTGTTATTTTAGAGATGCACATATTTCCTACAACTAGCAGAGCAAACAGCTGCTTTATCTCTGCGATGCTTTTACTGAGGGCTGCGTATGGATGGTAGAAACCATCTCCCAGCTCAGCAAGGACTGAAAGCAGCTCAGGGCAGGGGGCTGTTGAGGAGGGAACACTGATGGGTCAGGCAGGCTTGCGGTGTTCCCAGCCACACTGCTCTTGTGCATGAAGTGCCTGGCTAATCGAGTGTTTCATGTGTGTGGTTTAATTTTAAAAAAATAAAAAATAAAAAAAATAAAAAAAATCTGCAATGCAATCTGTGCTCTAATTTGAGGACACCATTTAGTGACTTTAATTGTGTGACAGTATTTTGGTATTTTCAATACCCAGTAGTAGGTTAATGACTGTTCCTTGAAGAATGGAGTTTATATAACACAAGTCATTACATAAGGAGGCTGATTGTGGCCTGAGGAACAGAAAGAAAACAAATATGCAAAAATGCAAACCCAGAACAGGCAAACTCTACTTTGATGGCCCTGAGAAGCCTAAAAAAAAATGAATGATGCTTGGGTTCCAGCAAGCAAAATTAACCTTGAGGAAGGCTGAGGACGTGGAGGTGAAAGCGCTGCGCGACACGACGTAGCTCTGTGCTACCACGCATTTCCCACGTGGCGGCTGCGATCTCTTCTGTTCATCCAGATTTAATAGAGGTTTGCATTAAAAAGAACAACAACCACGCAAGCATGCAAAAAAGTTATGGCCTGGCCAGTGATTTTATTTTTCACAGAAGCTCCTAAACGTGAGCTGGGCTGACCAAACACCACGGTGAAATAAAACTGTGCGAGAACCTGGAGCGCGACCTTTTGCTTGGACCTTAGATCTCAGGTTTGAGAGATGGGATGAAGTTGTACGGGATCATCTTATTTCTGGGCCAAAAGCGAGTGGGTCTCCTGTGTCTGCACC